GATCTTGTGGATCATCTCGGGAGGAGTGGAAAATGATTATGAAGAAGCATTATTGGAAGGATGGATGGAAATAGGTGAGGTGGGTGAATCGGTTAAGGGTATAGCAATGTCCGTCAAAGGAAATGTAGAGGGACTACCTATGCAAGTCTCCGGAAGGGTGTTTGGAAGCACAAAATTAGGAGAGGATGTAGAATGTTGAGACAAACAAGCAAAAGGAAAGATGTGCTCATAGAAAATGACATCTCTAGACACCGTGATACTTGTCATTATGTAGATTATAAAGTTTATAGCCTTTTGTGCAAGTGGAAAAACTCAAGAAAATTCATTTGGAAGCTCTTGAATCAAACTTAGCCTTCGGGGCAAGATTATATGCAAAACAGAGACAATCGAATACCTTAAGATTGTTATAAGTGGGAATTGTTCCAAACAAAAGCTCAAAAGGTGTTTTATCATTCAATATAGGTGTAGAAATTTTATTGATTAAGTGAACGACATGGAGAATACAATCCGCTCAAAAAACAAGCGGAAGATTGGCTCGAAACCTAAGAGCCCTAGCATTCGTCAATATGTGTTGATGTTTTCTCTCAACAATATTGTTTTGTTTGGGTGTTTTGACACATGAGGTTTGATGGAGAATGCCTTTCGAAGGAAAGAAAGAGGGCATATTAAATTCTTGGCCATTATCTCGTTTTAAAGGTTAGAATCTTGGTAGAAAACCGAGTTTCAACAAGAGTACAATAATTCTTAATGAGCTTTCTTGTGTCGATTTGTGTTTCATCAAAAAAACCTAGGTAGCTCGACTATAATCATCAACAATAGTAAGAAATTATTGATAGCTGGATAAAGAAGGAGTTTCCATAGGACCCCAAATATCCGCATGGACAAGTTCAAAACACTTCGTAGAAAAAGAGAAACTAATGGGAAAGGGAGGATTTTTTTGCTTTGCATAATGGCAAATATCACATTGTGGATTAGAGATGTCGGTAGGTACATCTTTACGGAGGGAATATAAAGCAAGTAATCTAGAATTTGAAGGGTGACCTAGTCTATAATGCCATACATCAAAAGAATCATGAACAATGGTATTTGAAGCGAAGTATGATGAGCATTTAAGTAGAGTGGAGTTATCAATCGATACAAGCCTTGTTTCTACTTAACCGTACCAATCATCCGCTTTGATTAATGGTCCCGTATAACACAAGAATCGGAATGAAAGAACAAAGAGCATCCGGAGTTTTTGGTTAGTTGACTCATTGAGATAAGATTGAAGGAAAAACTAGGAACAAAGAGAGCATTGTGCAAGATAAATGCATCGGACAAATTGAACTAATCCAACATGTGTAACTACTACTTGTTGAGCATTAGGTAACTTGACAGAGATATGAGAAACTGGATTATATTCATAAAAAATTTCTAAGGAGCAAACAATGTGGTCCGTGGCACTAGTATCTAATATCCACAGAGTTGGATTAGAAATAACGGAACCATAAAAGGAATTACAAGTACTGTCATGGAAGTGAAGTTGCCGGACAAGGCATTGACATCGATAGACACAGCAGCTGTGATTGGGGTTGAATTAAGGCTAAAAGTTTTGAGTATTGGTCCGCAGAGTGAAAGAAGCTTGCACACCACCGGGAATTGGACTAGAATCACCGAAACAATAAGTTGATTGCTAGAAAACACACTTATTAGAAGAATTACCAGCTTCATGTAGGCTTTCATTACCATAAATCTCAACCCGATTGGCAAATCCATTAAAACCACCACGAGTTTTATCAAACGATTTGTAACTCGGAGGAAATCCATGCTTCGATAGCACCTATCCACGAGTATGTCCCGGAAGACCACAAAACAAACACCGAAGCTTTGACTTCCCATTATAAATTGGCTTCCTCCGACTAGTGAAACCATCTCTTCCAAAAGCAAGGACTCTACCGGAAGAGGAGGGGGAAAAACTTCGTGACCTTGTTGAGAACGATTATCGTTGAAACACGGACCTATTAAAAAAATAACACTAGGATTGTTGTTGCTACTTGAACTTGATACTCTAAATCCTATGTTCGGTTGGTGTTCATGTTGAATAACCATGCCAAAAACTTTATTAATGGATGAAAGAGGATCCATCAGCAAGATTTAAGATCGTACGATTGCAAAATTATCATTTAAACCCTTCAAAAAATGAATCACATAATCACAGTTCTAAATTTTTTTGATTCTTTGAAAGGCTTCACAACATCATTGAGGATCACATATGCATTGAGGTATAGTTCTTAGATTTGAAAACTCATCCCATAGTATTTTCAAGTGAGTGAAATACCGAGTAACGAAAAGAACACCTTGATTATAGGAATAAATCTCCTCTCGAAGCTCTATAATTCGAAGTAATCACCATGGGAGAATCAATCACGTAGATCCGACCGGACTTCAGAGCACTTATCTAGCCAAATGACGCTTTGAGCGATCTCGGGGGAGAGAGATCGAATGAGCCGAGAAAGCATCATCGTATTGCATCTCTCCTAAGCCAAATATAAAGCATCGAACTTGTTTGGAACTTTGATAGTTCCATCAACAAACTATAGTTTGTTCTTAGACGAAGCGTCATCCTCATAGAGCAATGCCGGGAATGATAGTTAGAATTAGTGAGTGGAGGAGAAACCAAAACAAGAGAAGGATTCTCACTAACATGAAGAAAATAAGGCCGGACATATGTTCCTCGGGTCTCAAACTTGTGAAATTCACAAACGATTGACGAGAGGATGCAATCATTCCGATTTTGGAGAGACGAAAGAAAATTTAGTTGTTTGGTTCCTCGGAAAACTCAAGAAAGGAACCTTCTAAAAGCTTGATGCATGTTCGATACCATATTAAGTTTTGAGGCAAAACAAAATTTGGGAGAGGAGTAATGATTTCTCTCACTCTACTCTGCTGCATTTCATCTTTATATAACGGTAACAAGGAACATTCAAAACTCGACTAATTAATCTTGGTGAAATTCCCTAACTAACCTTGACAATTTAAAACGAGACTAACACATATAGAAAACATACGTGGGGCACTTATAATATTATCAACTAACTATGCTTTGATAAAAGAGGTTATAGATTTTTTTCCCTATTTATCAAAAGTTCATATACTTTATAAACTATTAGCGTTTATTTTTATTTTTAATGTAGCTTTTGGGATTTTTTTTTAAATGTGGAAATTTTGTTTGGCTTTCCAAAAGCTGTTTTAAAAAATAAAATTCAGAAATCACAAAATGAAGTTTTTAAATTTTTAGATCTTATATAACGTAAAAACATTTTAACAATACATATTATTAAATAATTTTTTATAATTATAATAGTCACAACAGTAGCTACAATCCCAACAAAAAACAACAATTTGACTAAAAGGATCCTTATAAAGGATTTATTTTCTTACTGATAAATTATTAATGGAATATTCTAACACTTTCTATCAAAAAAAAAAAAAAGTAAAACGTTAACGGATGAATGAAAGTTATGTAATTTTCAAAAAAAAAAAAAATAATAAATAAAAAACTTAAAAAAAAATTGACTGAGAATTTTGAGATTGGGTTTTCGTGTTATTTGATGATTTTTTTTTTCAAAGAAACATTTGATTAATTAATAAGCAAACTTCTAAATAGGCAGTGGCAAGCTAATGTTGTGCCCAAGTATTGAGAGGCCGTTTTTTGTCCTGATGGCCTAGCTAAAATTGGAATTGAATTGGGCAGGGAGACGGTGAATTTTACTGAAGTCCTTAGCTTTATTTTGGATAGGGATGGCAATGGGGTGGATCCCCATCCCCGCCTCGTCCTCTAAAAAAAAAACTCATCCCTGTCCTGTCTTTGTTTGAGACGAAATTTTGCTCCCCATCCTCGCTCCAAACGGAATAGGGTGGCGATCATCATCCTCATCCCTGCCTCATGTCCCATTCGAGGAAAAATTTCACCCCATATGAGGCGGAGCGGCTTTAAAACGGGTTGAATTGCTATCCCTAATTTTAAAAGATTTGACGAAGGACTCAAAAGGTCGGAGGATTTTAGAGTTTGTGGTTAGTTTGCTGATTTTGGACCCTTTTTCAAATTAAGCAATTGAAAGTTGTTCCACTTACTGTTACAATTAACTTCTACACCTCACCAAACCTTTTCAACAGCTTACTAAAAATGTCATTGATACATGTTACTTCATGGGTCAAACAGTTAAATATATAGAAGGAAATATTTATTATACTGGAGCATTTAAAATATAACATGTTTTAGCCTTGGATACATTTTTCAATACTCTCATTAGAATAAAATTTTAACCTATGGTTAAGTTTTTTTTTTTTTTTTTGCTTCTAGTATTTGAATTTTGGAACGAGCACTTAAAGAAGTTATTCATTTGAATGTCTTAATTAGATTTAAAAAACGTGTTTTTAAGATCATTTCAAAAATAAATTTAATCTTGTTAAAGAGATTTATTCTTGATTAACAGGTAAAATTGGTTCTAAGATTCTCCAGACTATTGAATGCATAAAAAATATTGCAGCACAATTTTATTCACATTTTCGTGGAAACAAAAGTAGGGATTGAGTACCTTCATATTTGAAAATATTGATGTAAAAGCTAAAAATACGATACGATATGCTGATTCAAACATGACGCAAGACACATCCCGTTTCTGCAACTGGAATCATAACAAATAACTAGAAGTTGATAAATAACTATCATTATATCGATAATGATAATGGTTCCATTGACTCTTCAGGCCATCCTTTTTTTTTATATATTTTGTATAAACTCTTAAATTGCAACTGTCTGAAATATGACCACAAATTGCAGTGAAATAGATCTTGTAGATTGCGAATGGTGAGAGACCTTTCTCTTTGTTGTACATGTTCTGCTTCTGTGGATCAAACACCTTCAGTCATCAAATAAGTAGTACGAATGGCAATTAATTCTGCAATTTTGCACGAACTGAGTATTATTCAGCTATAACATTAAAACAGTACGTACCTTGTCATGCTAGTTCGAGCAGTCCAACCTGGTCGTTGTCATTGTTTATCTTCTCACACAAAGCATCGACTATAACTTGCAATGAGTGTTTTTCATTTTCTAATAGTGCAATTTTTGCTTGAAGTTGAAATACTTCGAAGTTTTCTGGATTGTTAATTCTTTGCGCTAATGCATTAATTTGATGTCTGAGCTGTGCATTTTCAAGCAGGAGTTCTTTATCATTGGAGCCAGCCTGCCAAAAAGAAAAAAGAAAAAAAAAAAGAATTCGAAAAGTTAAGCTACAGATAAAACGAATAAAGTAATCAAGAGGAACTCTTTGATCAGGATGTCATCAGGAGGGCCAAAAATTTGGGTTCTCTCTTTGAAATGTTCAGATTAAACGTAAAAAGATATGGAGAAACACTTACCAGTCGTTTTGAAAGAACTTTCACAACCGTGGTTTGACTACGAAGCTGGCCTTTTAATAGGCCAAATTCCTTTCCAAGTTTCTTCATCTCATCTTTTTGATGTTGCAGAGTTTGTCTTAGGTGAAATTGTTCATCTCTTAAGCAATCATTCTCTACCCTTAAACGATCATTTTCTTTGGTAAGTGCATCCAATTTTATCTTGCTGTTCAACTTCTCTTCCTACAATAAATAGCAAGATACAAGAGAGAAACAAATACATATTAAAGGGATAAATACAGATACGAGGAAAATACATTATAGACTCAAATGACACGATTTATGACAAATTAATGTATGAATAAATTGCTGTATGGAAATAATTGTTGTATTACCATACTTTAGGGGTGAGCAATAATGATTCTATGGGTTTATTAAATAATAATAATAATAATATTGCCAAGAGCACCATGCATTCGTAGGGGTCTGATATTATTATTATAATTTTCATGATTCTATTATTTTATAATCCAAAAATCATTTTATTATGGGTTTTACTAGATAAATTCTCTTCTAATTTATTGAATGTCAATTAATGTTGATAGTCTCTCTCTCTCTCTCTCTCTCTCTCTCTCTCTCTATATATATATATATATAAAGATCCTATATGTCGATTGGTGTCCATAATTTTTCTAAGTTTTTTGCTAATTTCAATTTGGTCCTCATTCTCTTAATTTCTTTGCATAAACCCTTGATTCTAATACTTTTCTAGTGTTGGATTAATTATTGTGCGTGCAATGGGTCCTATGTTAATGGTAAATTTATGCCCGCTGTTAAGAGTTTGGATGGCGCATTAATTTGGTGGATGAGCTAAATTGATATATCAGAACTTTTTAGGATTCAAGTGTTTCATGTTGGGTTTTTAAAATCTTTTATTTATTTATTTTTTATTTTTTTGTCTAATGTTATCTTAGATCTTATGTTTATTAAAAAAATATATATTTTCAAAATATTTCTACTTTAATTTCAATTTATTTGATTTTCTTTAATTTATACCTATACATCATAGTTTTTCAAAATAGATATTGTTTGATTACTTTGATTTCCAATACTCATGCTCCATTTCTTAAAACTTTTTTTCCTAATTGATATACATATCATAATTCATTGATTGTCAAAATTCGTTTTCTAATGTATTTTGGTAGTCATAACAAAATTATCTATTTTTTTTCCTTCTATGTAGTTAAAAAATTAAAAATATTTCAATTTAGTATTTTTTTCAGATATATATTTGACATGACCTTTTTTTGGACATCTTATTTTTAAAAGTTCCAAAACGACTTTGAGGGCTTGTGCCTCCTTTTTTTAAATGTGTTTTATATATAAAATATACTTTCAGCCAAGGTAATTCTAATCTTGATGGTGGAGTTTTCTCTTTTATTATTATTTAATTATAAAGATATATGCTTTCACAAGTTTTGATGTGTGGGATCGTTAACTGTTTTAGTGGGTTTCCTTCATCGGACCTCAATAGTTTACAAACAAATAAAAGGAAAGGAATATATAAGTGTTATCAATAGAAGAGGCTAGTGTATCCTAATAATAAAACCCACCTAACAGGACTTCACGTCACTAATCATAAAAGGAATTAACAAATAAAAACTTTTAGGTGTCATTTGTTTATGAGAAAAAAAATGTTTAGAATAAAAATACAAAAAATTGGAATGAAAATTAGAAATCAGAATAGTACTTGCATTCTTATATTATGTTTAAAACAATAATAAAGAATCAACATAAAATTTAAAATTTTTAATACGAATAAAAATAATAATTAAAAAAATAATTTAATCAACTCGTAATGATAGTAAAAATGATAGAAATAATTGTGGTAGAGGAGAATGAATATGACATAATAGTAATAATTATATAGTAATAATATATTTTAAAAAATTAATATCATCGTCATAGAATGTGACAATGAAAGAAAAGTAGTGGTGGTAATATAATAAAAGTAATAGTGATAGAAAAGTGATGATATAATAATAATAATAATAATAATAGTAGTAGTAGTGGTGGTGGTGATTGATAAAGAGTAGTGGCGAAATAATACTAATAATAACTTGTATATGTGTGTGTGAGAGAGAGAGAGAGAGAGAGAGATGATAATAGTAGTAAAAATAGCTAATACATAATAAATAAAAATAATATATTATTATTTAAAAAAAATTTCATTCTCATTTTTTATTATACTCTCACATCTCATATAAGAATAAAATTATGTTTAATTTTTATTTCTATTTCTATCTTTAATTCTTATTTTTATTTTATTTTTTTCAATCAAACAGTAGAAAATAAAAATAAAATTTTTATCTTTATTTTTGCTATTTCATTCTTAATAACCAAACAATATCCTTAAGTTAGAAGTTAACGACTCTTTATAAGACATGGAGATGGTCACATCTTTCTTTCCAATCATGCAAGCAGAAACCATATTGTATAAGCCTTTAAAATATTTTTCCATTTTTTTCTTTCAATAAAAATTGAGACGGGGCTCCATTTTTGCCAATTTATATTTTCTTATCGATCGCTTGAGCCTCCATATACAATAGTATTTATAAAGCAAACTATATAATTTAAACAACTAATTATAGAATTTAATAATTGGCACTTTCAAAAATGAAAGAAGGGCATAGAAATAAATTTTAGTCAAAGCTTAGAAATTTCAGTAAGCTCAAGCCCAACTTGTAGAAAATTTGCAATGGATATACTGATAGCCCACTTTCAACTGAAATGATGTCATACATAACACCACTATTTTATGTCATTTTTATTCATCAAAACTGTGTAGAGAAACTCTTTGAATAAAGCCAGATAAAAAATCTAGGAAAAGTCATAGTCCAAGTAATGAAAAGATAAGATAGTCATGATATCTTGACAAATAACATACATTTTCTCTGTTTTGCCAAAATTTTATTTATTTGGTAGCTGAAATACAGGATGAAAAACATCAACTATTCATATATAAATACTCTCATTCTTTTCTTTATTCTAATTTTGACTAGAATTCATAAATATTTAAACAATATTTATCTTAACTCATATTGATAATGGAGTCGCGGTCCATTATACTTTTATTTAGTAGTTCTTTATCACCAATACTAGATGAGAAATGAGAAATGAGAAATTATGAAAGCTCTTTCTTAATATATATGTATATATAATGTTGCATAAACACAACTTTATCATTATTTTCATTTCTTCCTTAAATTAGAAGAGAATGAGAGGATTTATACATAAATAGTTAGTGTTTATTATTTCATTTCCAACTGCCAAACGAAATAAGTCGGGAAAAAAAGAAGATAAAATGTTTCTTCTTTGTAAAGAAATTAAGGCTATTATATTTATTATTTAGACTGACTTCTTTGCGTTGGCCCATAAACCTTCATTCAAGTACTAATGATATAAAACTGATAGAGAAGGACTGTATCATGAATGATATCATTGCATTTAAGACCGGACCATTGCACATATCCGTCTCAAATTTTTCTATAAGATGGGCTTGACCAGCTTATGTTTCAAGGTTTTGAAAAATTTTATTCTGCACTTCTATGGCCTTCTTCCATTATTAAAAATCTCAACAAAAAAATTGAGCGTAGAGCACTTTTTTCACAGCTTCAAAAGCAGCACCTTTGATGCTTCTCACCATTTGATTAACATATTTTTCGTCTACCTAAAGTATCTAATCAAATATTTCTAGAAAATTCTTTCATATTTGAGAACATAACATTCATTTTATTTATGAACATTTTTTTTAAGTTTTCAATCCATTCAATAAGACTTTTGTCACTAAAATGCTTATACTTGTTTTAATTGTAACTCGGGTTATGAATTCATCATTAATGGATTGATGATTTCTTTTGCTCCAACCAGCCCCATAGATCTTAAATTTGGTAAAAATAACAGAATCTACCGTTGTCATCGTAGAATACTTATTATCTAATTTATTTATAAATAACTAAAATAACAAATTACAAATTGCACTATTTTTAGGATTTCTTCTAAAAATAACTTAACCACAAATATAATTGTTTCTCTTATTTCATTTAAAGAACTAAAGAGATGACTTCTCACTTTTTGTAAAAAGTTTTACCTCTCTAAATTTGGATAAGGAAAGATTCTTCTTCAATTTGGCAAATATCAAGATTTTCCTCTCATTTTTGTTTTATTTTTATCTAAGGATTGTTTCTTATATAAAACAATTGATTAGTTAGAAGTCTCTTTAACTTGTCCTACTCTCAAACAAACACAGTATAGAATCGACTTTTGAAAGACTAGAAATTTAAATTAAAGAATATCAAGGTGAAGGTGAAAATGTTTAACGTAAGAGTAAAATCCGTAGAACTATAGAACTAAAAAAGAGGAAAAAATTTTAAAGTCATTTGTAGAAAATTAATTGATTTCCCTAAAAAATTAATAGATAGAAAGCAAGTATTAAGATTTCGTGGATTTGTTAACTAGGTAATTGGTGTAAAGATTTTCAAAACTGCTAAAAGGATTGTTAAGAAAAAATTTAGAAAAAAAATAGTTTTGAAATAATGAAGATACTCAAACAGTGATCAACATAAATGAATTTGTTTTGAAGAAGATGGTTCAAATAAATTTTGGTATGCAATTTTAAAAATAAGAAGAATAAATATGCAAGCATTAGTATGGTGTTATAACTCAAGAGTACTGTTTCAAAGGAAAAAAAATTTCGGTTAATTTGAATAGAATAATTTGATAGAATAATATATAAAGAAATAAATACTACATAAAAATACAATAGACATAATAAAAAACGTAAAAAGATATGGAAAACTTTATTGATTATATAAAAACATATCCACTCATTTACCTTTCATATTTTAAGACAAAAATAGAAGTTAATTTTCGTGGTTCTTTGATTCAATTATTAAGAGATAAGATGGATGATTTTTTTTTTAAAAAAACATTCTATTAAAGGTTATCATTTTATTAATTAAAGAGAGATTACTCCCATGCACTAACAAATTTTTATTAAAAAGAAATAATAACACCACAACTTAAATCAGTTACTCCGGTCCGTAGATAATAAGCAAACAGAACCTCGATATACAGATTATAGAGCGAAACAATTTAATTGAATTCCTGTCTGTGACTCTAAAGAGAGAAGAAAATAGGAGGTTTAATTACCTTACATCGTTCACGATAGGCCTTGTCAATCCGTCTTTTCTTCTCAGCTGCTGCATCTCTTGTAGCTCCAGAAAGTTGTCTTTTGAGATTAGTATCAATTGTTTTTGGAATCTGATAACTTAATGGTTCATCCGACACACTAGCACTTGGATCCCAGGACAATGCCAATCCCTCTGCGTTTTAAATTTAAATGAACAAAAACCTTTATATATATATTCAAAGTGAAGTATTCGGTTTCTCAAGTCTTAAAATCATTAAATAGAGATTATTATTTTTGAAATCTCCCTAAGAAGCAAGCAGCATGGATGCAAAATTCAATTCAACCAAACCTGTTATAAGACAAAAGGAATTACGATATATTCTGGAAATAATTGAGCTGCGATTTTTACTTACTATCAGATGGAGACATTAATATATTTGCGATGTCTCTCCAGGAGCGGGCAGCGGCACCCTCCATTCCATAAGATTTGCTTTCTGCAGAGAGATGAAGAGACTTTTGTTTTTTAAAAGAAGATTATCAAGAAACGGGAGCCAGACAGCTCAGTCAAATCGTGCGAAAGCGTTCGATGTCGCCCGTCCATCGTGGGAAATGGTTCGACAACGCTCACCCAATCAGACCACTTCATGGGCCCCGCGAGCCGTATAGAATTACAGAAACTTGGGTTGATAGGCACGTGCTAGACCGCACCATACACTTGAACAACATAATGTTACGCCCGTTCAAGAGAAGAATTTTTCTAAAGATTATAGAAAATGCTAGATAAGTATTGAAATCTCTAAAAGAATATGGAGCAATGGAGAAACTTTTAGAATATCTAAAAAAAATTTAAATATGTCCTAGAGAATTTTAAAAAGTCCCTCATTATTGTAGCTTGTATATATCTAGATAAGATATTTTCGGGAATCAATTACAACTATTAGATCAAATAGATCTTAGCCATCAATTGAAGAGGTGAAAGACTATAAATAGGTAAGGCCTTCATTTGACCAAGACATCCGGACATCCAAAAATCTAATAAAGTGTATTCCTCGAGTTGTAAGCTTTAGAGAGTAATAGAAAGAGTTCTTATATCTCTTGTGTGTGTCTTTTTTGCTTAACAACTTTATGTGGAGAAGACCGACTTGGTTTGACTTAGAGAAGAAGTAACCCAAGCGCCGCACAAGAGCTTGGGAAAGGCCAAGTCTATGACAAGTGATATCAAAGCCGAGTTTTATCAAGTGTGAGTAAGCTACTGCTAGCTAACTATTCAAAAGAGCAAGCATGTCTAGCTCTAGTGTTGAGGATGTTCGCTGGAGACACTAGGAAGGAAACTCTACCTTCTCGACCTAAGAAGGGAAGGGGAAATTCTCATGATCGTTGGTTGCCTTGGAGGAGCGGTTTATGAGGGCGAGAGGAACACCTTGTAGATTTCAAGGAGAGACTCGAGGATATAGAGAGAGATAATGAGGGGCATACACCTAGGCATGACGAGCCTACGTGAGCTGCTCTCCGATCTTCAAGCTCGAGTGGAAACAATTGAGTGGTGTGCCAAAGAGAATGTTGTCAAAAAGGATGCCTTTGAGGAATGGACGAAGGAAATGTTCAAGCAATATCAAGAATTTATGATTAGGTATGAGCAAACTCTCGAACAATTCAAAAGAGATTGGGCAAATTATCATGAAGCCATCTCTAGTGGTATGGTCTAGAGGGACGTCAAAAGTTGAAGTGCTAAAACCAAGGCACTGTGTGGCAAGCGGGATGCTAAGGAAGTTGATAACTTCTTTTGGCAAGTGAAGCAATATTTTAAGGTAATGGGTTTGAGTAAGGATAGGATTCGCTTCGAGATCGCTACTCTATATTTTCGAAGAATACTTGCTTTATGGTGACGTATGAAGTACTAAAAGCTTAAAAAGAAGAATAGAGAGTTGCCTAGTTGGGATGAATTCAAAAAACTCGTGTATGCTCAATCCTACCTTCGGAAAGTAGATTGAGAAGCACAAGATAAGTTACGAACATTGAAGCATATAGAAACTATTCATGAGTATGTTCGAGATTATGTTTCTCTTACATTATAGGTACATGACAAACCCGATTATGATCATATGTATGATTTTATTAATGGACTTCAACTATAGACACAACAAGAGATGTGAGGTCGACAGTGTAAGACCTTCATCGATGTTGTGGCCATAGCTGAAACCTTAATTGAGCATAAAAAGAAGGTATAACCCTCTAAGCCTAAGAAAGACTTCGAGAGCAAAGGCGGGAGATCTTATGAGAAGAAAGGGTACAAAGATGGGTAAGACAAAGCACACAAGTCTAAAGGCTTTGTCAAAGAGCATGACGAGAAAGAATTCAAGTCTAAGGGTTGCTACTTTTACAACGAGGCTAAATCAATGGAGAGAGTGTCCGAAGCGATAAGCCCTCGATGCTTTGATGGAAGAGAATGAATGTACTCCCAGCGTAAGAAGCATATGGGATCGTTGTGGCTTTTCAATGCCTTGAATGTCAAGCCTTTGCTTAAGGTGCCATTAAAAGATGCACTTATGTGCGTGGATGTGGATGTGAATAGCAAGGTTGTACTTGCCATGCTGAGACACGGGTACCACACACAATTTTATGGTCGAAGATGAGGCCAAAAGACTTCGTTTGGTGGTGACCAAGTCATCGAGCAGCATGAAGAAGGTGAATGCTTCTCCTAAACTTACTTGTGGTATAGCACATAAGGTAAGTCTTGACATAGACACATGGAAGGGGATGCTAGATTTTATGATTGTCATGATGGATGACCTTAGGGTTATGCTTAGGCATGAAATTTTTCAAACAAGTAAAAGTCGTGCCTACATCTCATTTGGAGCAAATGGTGATTATGAAGGAAGAAACACCATGCATAATGTTAGCCAAGGTGCATGCTAGATCAAACTTGAAGCATTTCTTAGCTATGCAAGTAAAGAAGGACTTCAAGAAAGGGAAAGTCACCTACTTGGAAGCATTGAAAGAAGATGGAATGATGGATAATGAGGGTGTGGAGATACCCGAAGAGATTGCCAATATGTTGGCCAAATTTGAAGATGTAATGCCACCAAAGTTACCCAATAAGTTACCACCCAAAAAAGAGATCAATCACCAAATAGAGTTGGTTTTCGATGCCAAACCACCGGCCATGGCACCTTATTGGATGGATCCTCTTAAATTGGAAGAATTGAGGAAGCGATTGAAGGCTATATTAGAGGCTAGATAAATACAACCCTCTAATTTGACTTATGGCTCACCTTTGTTGTTTCAAAAGAAGCATAATAGATTGTTGAGAATGTGCATGGACTATCGGACATTGAATAAGGTTATGGTAAAAAACAAGTATCCAAATCCATTGATAGTTGATTTGTTCGATCATTTGAGAAACGCTTAGTTCTACACCAAGCTTGATTTGAGATTGAGGTATTATTAAGTTTGAATTGCCACCGAAGATGTGTTGAAAATAACATGCATGACAAGGTATGGTTCCTATAAATTCTTTGTTATGCTATTTGGCTTGACTAATGTCTCGACTACCCTCTCGCACCTTAATGAATAAGGTATTTCAACCATATTTGGATCGGTTTATAGTGGTATATCTTGATGATATTATGGTTTATAGCTCTATGTTAGAGGAGCATCTAGACCACCAATGTACTATATTCAAGGTACTAAGGAAGAATGAGTTGTATGTCAAAAGAGAGAGATGCTCCTTTACAAAAGAGGAAGTACTCTTCCTAGGGCACAAGATTAAGGGAGGAAGGTTGATGATGGATGAGGCCAAAGTCAAAGCTATTTTGGAATGGGAAAAGCCAACTAAGGTACCCAAACTTTACTTTTTTCTTGGACTAGTCAATTATTATCTCTACTTCATTCATGACTACTCAAAGAAAATGACCCCTCTCACTCACTTATTAAAGAAAAATAAAAGATAGGAGTGAGTGAATGGTGTCGGGAAGCTTTTGAGGACCTAAAGCAAGTTGTCATCGAGGAGCTAGTGTTAAGCTTGATCGATCTAACCAAGCCATATGAGGTACACATTGATGCTTTTGATTTTTCTATAGGTGGTGTGTTGATGTAGGAACAACATCCTACGACCTATGAGAGTAGAAAACTAAATGACACCTAACGTCGATATTTGGTACAAGAGAAGGAGATGACCATAGTGGTACATTACTTGTGTACTTGGAGGCATTACTTGCTAGGGTCTCGATTTATAGTGAAGACGGACAATATGACCACGAGTTACTTCCAAATTCAAAAGAAGTTGATGCCAAAGCAAGCTCGATGGTAAGACTTTCTTATTGAATTTAACTATGTCTTTGAGTACAAGCTAGGTAAGACCAATGTGGTGGGTGATGTACTTAGTAAAAAGGCCGAGTTGCATCACAAGAAAAATATGGATAGGGAGATTATGACCAGAATTAAGGAAAGAATAGAGCATGATCCCACTATCAAGAGTTTATTAGTCCTTACAAGGGAGGGTAAGGCTAGAAAAATTTTGGAAGGAGGATGACATTTTTTACACTAAAGGAAGGAGAATTTATATGCCTAAGTACGAAAAACTCCAACGAGATTATATGAAGGAATGCCATGACTCGATATGGGCTGGATATCTAGGATAACAGACGTACTAGAGCCTTACTAAAGGGAGCATATTTTTTATCGCAGTTATACGATCATGTGAAGGCCTATGTAAGAATATGCTTGGTGTGCCTACAAGACAAGGTTAAAAACCGAACGCACTGGAGGTCTATCGTAGCTTTTTCCTATCGCGAAGAGACCATAATAGATAATCACCATGGATTATATAATGGTTTTGTCAAAATCAAAGAAAATTAGAAGCCTTATTATAGTCATAGACAAGTTCTCAAAGTATGTCACTTTCATACCAGCTCCAAGCAGATGTGATGGTCGAGAACACTATTAAGTTACTCTTCAAGTATGTGATGAAGTATTGGAGCGTGCTCGTGACATATAATCAATGATTGAGATCCTCAATTTACTAAAAAGCTATAGACCGATTTATTTGAGTTGTTACGCTTAGAGTTGCATTACTCCATGAGTTTTCAACCTTAGATGAATGGCCAAATCGAGAGGGTTAATGCCTTGTTAGAGATATACTTAAGGCATTTTATGAGCGCTAACTAGAGAGACTAGGCTAAGTTATTGGATGTTGCCTAATTCTTTTACAACTTATAAAAGAGTGAGTCTACTAGCAAGAGTCCATTCGAGATCGTGACGGGCTAGTAGTCTCTCACTCCACATACAATGGTGCTTGGTGATAAGTACCAAGGAAGTAGCCATACAACATATTCGTTGCTAAAAGATGGTAAGAACGAGATAGACTTGACATGAATGTATTTGAACAAGGATGATAAAAAGATGAAAAAGTGGGTTGATAAGAAACGGAGAGATGTCACCTTTCATTTAAATGATAAAGTGATGGTGAAGTTGCTACC